ACATTGTGCAAAACTAAAATAATGTTTAATATAAGCTGCGCTGTGCAATCACAAATATTATAATGCATTCTCTCATGTTTTTTTTTCAATTACAGAAAACTTAACGACCATAAAAAAATACCCAACTTGAATATTCTAATTAGAAATATTTTATTAATTTTATCTTGGTTGATATGCCCAGAAATATCAGATGGAAACAAAAGGTTTGAAATATTTCGATAAATGTTTATTTATGTTAGTGCCTTATTTTTATAAGATTACAATATTTTCATAATTCAGCCATACATAACCATATTTCAGCATAGTCTCTGAAATACCATTATTTAACCCCTAAAGTAAAAAATCGGGAATACTGTTGTATTGCGGTCGCTATACGGTAGGCGCTCCCAGGCGTCTAAGGTCATAGGTAGAAAGTACTTTCCCTTGTACGTCATACCTTGTGCAATGGTTTTTATTCTTTTTTATTTTGTTAACACCACGAAAGAACGTCGGAAATGTATCCAATATTTTGATTAAAAATATATTTTTTTAATCATTTGTAAACATTAGGCTTCTCACTATGGACGTTCACTCCCAAAATATTAACATTGTAATAGAAAAACATGAATAGCATTTTCGTTATTTAATTTTATACAAACGATTCCAAAACTTGTACAAAATAAGTTAATAACACATCATTATATTAAGTAACGAGACGTTACTAAAATCATCTTTTAGTAACATTCTTTGATCCAGGCTGTTCTGAGAGCGATCGCCAAATTTATGATAATTATAAAGTTAGCATTGTATTAACATCAAGAATGGAACGTTATATCCTTGTTAATTCATGTTTGTTACAATAATTTTTTTTTTTTTTACTGTTTGCTCAGCAGATCTTGGAGATTGTAGTCGCCTGAGCCAGCCTTCTCCAACTCTGCCTACTTTAGTAGTTTACTAGTTGTAGAAAAACAATACCCATCATTGGTACAACAAATAAAAGTTTTCATACATTCATAATTAAGGGGATAAACCTGGCGTTTGAGCGTGATCTAGGTCAAATCATCTCCTTGCACAACCGTACACCAAGAAACAGTGCTTTCCCTAAATAGTACTGAACCAAGACCCTTCATGGGTTGTAGTGCTACATTAAAAAAATAAATAATTACTATCTTAAGTTATAATATATAAAGGTTGATTAATAAAAATGTTGTAATATTATATATATATATATATATATATATATATATATATATATATATATATATATATATTATTGATTCTTCACAACCATCTGGTATTTGCCTCAGTCGTGATTTATTTATGTAAAGTCTTTCTGATTATTTGGTTTGAACTATTTGTGTGTGAATAAGTTTTCTCCGTTTTTTTAATAAAAATTAAAATGTATTTATAAAACATGGTCAGACGCAGGTCATTCAAAGTACTGCCCATCGCTAGCCGCAACATTCTTCCATCATTCAGATAACATACGAATTCCATGTTGAAAAAATATAAATTTCTTTTGAGGCAATCCATTCATCTACCTATTTTTTAGTTTCGTCATAATAACAGAAGCGCAGCTCAGGCAGACCGTAAGTCAGTCTCTAAGAGGCGTTTAAAAAAAAAAAAAAAGCGTGGAAATCGTTATTCACTTTGGAACCATCCTGCTTCCATAGCTTTGCAGGAGGAAGTTATGCTGTACCCAATGCTTCAGAAGTGAACCTAGGATTTAATAGTTATAGATCAATTTCAAGGTAGAGGTACTTCCCAAAGAATTTTTTTAAAATTCACCGAATAAAAAAGCGTTTTTTACACCATTTGAAATATAGTAGGATAAGCGCAACAGTGATGGACATAGCTAAGGGAAATTTTGTCTTTTTTGGCTTTTACCGCCAATGCATTATAGTTCTTCTTCAAAACTTCTTCGTTGGACGTTTAGGATCTCTAGGGTCTCCTATTTCTGTTTAGCACTTTAAAATTTAAAAAATATTCAGTTATTTAGGTACAATCTCAATAAAAAAAAAAACACCTTTTTTGCACTAGTGATGGATACCCCGAACTTCAATTGTTCTAATAATGAACAGGAGGTTGGTACCATTAATGAATAGGCCTCATAAAAATTCTGATTTTTTATTATAGTGTAAAGATAACGATAAAGATAAGATAAATGTACAACTTCTGAGCAAAACTGTTCATAGCAAGGTATGAAACACACTGATCTCAAGAGTACTATAGAAACAACAATGATAGACATTTTAAAAGTTTCTTTTGGGAACTTTGTTTATGCAGTTGTCAATAGAAAGCATTGTTCTTCAATCTAGAAAAAAACTGGAACCTTTAAATCTACAAGAAAGCTTATTTTTTTCATTTAAAGTCCAACCTGCCCATCACTGGGCCCGCTGTCCATAACTGGTGCAGTTATGGTTAACCCTGCTTATAACACATATGATAATTCTATTGGTACTTTTTCTTATTTAGTCATTGTAGTGCTATAGGAGCTATAAAAGTAGTTCTACTTGACTCTGAGGGTCCATAATAATATTTAATAACATCAAACAATTTACTTTTAGAGAACTCAGATGTAGCTGAAAATATATAATATAATATATATTATTTATTTAAGAACTACATATGTATATATTAGATACTATTTATATTTATTTACGTAAATAATATAAAAAATTAGAGCAGTAGAATAACGATAAATACGAAGGTTACGCTTTTTGACAAAATCTCGGGATTATCATAAAAAGTTAAAATTGCTCCAACTTTTGAACGATTGAAGAGAAGTTAGTAAAATAATATATACTCTTGAAGAATATTTAATGCTTAATGTTACGTCTAGATTGGTGGATAATCAGTAAAATGCAGCTTACTTATACACTTATTTATTGAGAGAAACAATAGACTATTACATTTTAGCATTGTGACCATAATAACTGAACAAATTAGGAAGATAAAACAAAGATAAGGATAACTAAATAATCGATAATAAAATTGAGACACAACACTGCGAATATTGAGCCCGGGTATCTCGGAAACTATGCGAGACAACGTAAAAATGATTATAATAAATATTTTTGCAATATTTATCAGTTTTAATTTTGAGTAGAATCTCTTTATCGCTACGATGAATGATTTCCCTTATATAAAAGCGATTAACCAAAAAAAAGCGATCTTCATATCTTGCTCCCCACATCTGCTCACCATCTAAGAATGAGGACTTTTAGTATGTTTACCTCCTAACTAGTCCGAATAAAGCCCCAAAGTAAAAAATTGTGTGCATTCATTTCCTTTTTTAATCATTCATTGACTGGACTGTTTAATTAGGCAACCAGAACGCAAACTTAAACAAATTCAACTATGAATTCGAAAACTCAAAATTTTTTTCAAGATTTTAAAATAATTTGGGCTGTTGTTTCTTTCACCAGGTTTAGTTCTTATGGTAACGTTTCAGTCTCTGGCTATAAGCTACTGCATCTTTGTTAATTTGACCTATCCAATGAATTTTTATAGCAGTATATCTGCATACTAGTATAAAATTATCCCTCTCTCTATCAGGTAAAACCATTTAATATCTGAACTTTCTACACGGACACATTTTAACGGACCTGAAAACCCGTACCATGACAACTACTGAAGGCTCTTGGGTTCAGTACTTTGTAAGGAAGTAATTTTCTTGGTCATCTGTTGTCTAAGGAGGTTTCTTCCTAGAAATTTATAGCTTTTCTCAATGTAGTGGCAAGAAAGACAACATGGTTGCTTCAGGTGGGATGCTTTGCTTCTTTGTATTCGATTTTATGAAACACAGTAATCTGATGTTCCAACTTAACATCAACTAATTCCAGTCTTTGCTGGCAACTTTTTTCCTAAAAACAAAAATGTCAATTATTTATTACAAGGAGCAATAAAAAAAAAATAATAAAAAAAAATAACTGTAACACTAAAACTCATGAAGGGTCTTGTACTATATTTAGGGAAAGTACTGTTTCTTAGTCAACGGTTGTGCAAGCATGTGATTTTACTGAGATCACACCAGGCTTTCTCCTTTAATTAACTATTTAATTAAGGATACCCACCTTATAGAGGCTGGTTGTGTCCGAGGAGCGTCTCCTGATCCCAGGGTTGCCCCTCGGCTGATGAAACAGAATAAATAATTCCCCTGCCATGAGCTGTGATTCAAAACCAGTACCTTGAGCATTAGAAGATCAGTGCCTTACCACTGAGCCACCCCACTCCCGTAAGGGCAATAAGTATTAATAAACAAGTGACAACCACTCTCATTGTTCAGATACAGCAAATAAAATCTTTTTTAGTACAAAATTGTCCACAAGTACCAAAGTTATAGTTTGAACCCATACTTACAAAGGTAAGAATAAAATGAATATTCCTTAATGAATAAAAATTGTATATAATAATTACTGGATGACCCAAACATATAACCATCATTTTACTTAGCTTAGTTGGGTAAAAAGAAAGTTTAAATCAAGAAATTTTATAAAAATTATTGGAATCCAGTTTTTGTTAATTATACCTTAACTAAGTAATTAATTGATAAGTAAAGAAATAACTTAGTAAGCAGCAGTAGCGCCCAGAATGAGGTTTCATGGCGCAAGTTGCGCCATCAAAATTTTTGAGGAGAGCACATTTTGACAGGGGTTTTGTATTTTTGAGGTGGCATATTGCGATGTGGTTATGAATTTTTGGAATGAAAAGTTTCAAACCAAGAAACAAGGAGAAAACATGTAACAGACCACTGTCTATGTAATTGTGTAGGACCTAAGATTTTTTAAATTCTACTTTAGCTTGCACTGTTTTGAGGAAGAGGAAAGCAATAAAATATCTTGGGAGGAGGGGATATTCTTGCCCCATCGACCTTGGGGATTGGCACCACTGGTAAGCAGGAGGTAAAAATTGAATTCACGAATAATTCCTTAATCATCTGATATAATTTAACCTATTTCTCTTGTTTTATTATATAATATACATGGACCGATCATTAAAATTACATATATTAATAAATAAAAATATATTTAACTTATTTTGGGAAAATAAGATTGCAATATTTAGGAATGTTTGTATTTAAAATTCATACACAATAGATGAAAAAATGACACTTCTTAAAATTCTTTATATGCAAAAGCACTAATTCAAAGATACAAATAAGAAAAACAAAATCTGACTTAAAAAAGAGCTATAAATGCTAAAGTACAGTAAGTCAGTCTTAATATTTATTGTAAATTATACATTTACACCATAATATGTATAATATAAGAGAAAGACAATAAAAATCTGCATAAGATCATTTCATAAAATGAAATGCTAGGTGCTTATTTTATTTACATGATTGTTATATTAAATTTATAGTTGAAAATTTTTACTTTTTAATATACCATACATATAATGTATACAGCATACATATTTATTTCATTTGTCATAAACTATATAGTGGATGTGAATAAATATGTAGAACTAGTAACTATTTCTAAATGACACTCAAACACACAAAAGGCTACAACAATGGAATACTAAAATTGATGGTACTAATTAAAAATTTACAAGGACTGCCAGTATTCCTAACAGTTGCATCATTAAAAGTTTGTTGACACTGTATTAGACACGAACTTGTTGCTTTCTTTGTGGGGGACCTCTAGTCGATGTGCTGTTACTCCTTGGCCTTGGCTTAGGATGCTCAAGGGCATAGAGTTCTTCATCGGTGAGGATTCCCTTGTACCAATCGAGGCTAAACATTTATCCAACAAATTATGTTAAAAACTTTAAATATATGTATAAACTATTAATCTTAAATAATGAGATTAGTAACAGCTATAATTATTCTATATTTAGTAGTTCAAAGGAATTCTGCATTATTAAAATTCCAAATAAATAAAATTTTGAGAAAATAGGTGTATTCTATTCGCTTATATTTGACCAGGAATCTCTTTTCTTTTTTTTTTTTGCTCCAGATCTACAAATTTTTCAGATTTTTAATGACAGAGACACTAGTTTTTATTTCTTAATAATTTTAAATATATATATATTTAAATTTCATAAATATATACTTAATTTAATGTTTATATTTATTCTGCATAATGTAGTTATTAATCAAGGATAAGATGGTCAGAGTGACAAAAAATTAATCATATCTTAGATGATAATTATTTAAATGAATACTGATGTTTTGGCCCACTTCATAGACATTTGTAGGTTATGAAGAATTGCAAAGTGAATGGGTCTTTTGACCGTAAGCTATGCATAAAAACTCAATGAGACCATTTTAAAATTAATTCTTGTTGTAATACTATTTATAGAAATATTGTATAAATGGCTTACCATTCTGGGACATTTCTGGGCCAATCACATGAACCAGTGGCTTCATTAAAGACTTGTCCACGTTTGCAACCATTCCTTCTGGGAACCTCTCCATTGATGCATACATAGAAAAATTGGCAGTCCTCGGGGTCAGGGTATCTGGGATGCTGTTGGGCTTGGGTCATGTCGACCTTAGGGCATTCAAATTGGAACACATCTGGAATATTTAAAAGAAAAATATGTCATTATTTTTTTAATACATTATTCATTGGTTAATATTTTCATTATTTAATAGGTAAAAGATAAATTATAAAATACAATTTTCAATTAAAATCACTTATGAGTTATTATTTCCATGTGATATTTTTAGCAAACTTGTTATGTATTAAATCATAAAATTCGTAAACATTACAATTGTAAATTGAGACTATTGAAACTGATTTTCATTAACTTAAGTTGGTTTTACAGTATATTCTATTTTACATAGTTATATGCTCTAAATTATGTTTAATGTGTGTCTGTTTACTTACTGTTCAAAAATACCATTCATAAAAATACTGTTAAAAATAAAAATGTGCTAATATAAAAGAAAATTACTTTTTCAAAAGCTATTTAATATTTTAATTTTCTAGTTCACTTTTATTTAATTATAAATTCCTTATAATTTTTCTGATATTTCCACAATATGTGTCAAGCATCTTAAATTTATGATATATCGATTGTTTAAAGGATTTGAAAGAGAAAAGATGTGTTAAGTTCATGACTTCTATAGTTTTCCAGCCTTTGTATAATAATTTTTATTTATATCATTATTAGATACATGTATATTAAACTATTGAACTTCTTTTATTTTAATGTTTCCAAATTTTACTTGTATTTTATATTATCACTCCTGCTATTTTATTATTTTATAAGATATTCCTGTTTATTGTACAAGAAAGATACGGACTGCTACATAAGTTGGTACCAAACATAAAACAAGGATCTTTCAGTGGTTCAATACTGAATTTATTGAAATATCTGTTCATAATTTGAATTATTTAATCAAGTGATTAATCTATGGCTTGTATACTTATATTATTGTCAAAATAAATTATTCTAAAGACTAATTTAACTCAATTATAATTAATAACTTAGTATAAAATGCAGTTTATGTATTAATATTATTAGCTTTTGTGGAAACATATTAGATTATATTAGATGTTTAATATCTAGATAACGTTTAGTCATTTCAATCCTAGCACCTTAGATCACTTATTATTTTACCTGGTACTATTTCTTTTTCTATATTCTTCTTACCTTAAATTCTGATTTATATTCAAATGTAATAGATGTATTCTATGCTATTAATTATCTTTTTTTTATCTTATAATTATAATTATAATGGAATTAAATACTAAACCTTATAGTAAATTCAAGCTGAGGAAGGAAAAATTATGTGCAGTTTTGGTTTTGCAGTGCTCATTTCATTACTGTTCCTCTGTGATACTAATTAAATCAAATTAAATAAAGTTTTTATTTTTTCGTTTTTGAATTATGTAACATTTTTTATTAGAAAAAATATTTTTGTGAGTATCAAAAAGGAACTTAATAATAAATAATTATATCTCACTTTTCCATGGCATGGTGTAATAGATGGTATACGCCCTTTCTCAACCGTAGCCTCTGCAATCTTTTCATAGTAGGAGAGATCCATTGGGCCTGAAGCTTTCACTGGATCCTTGTTTAATTGAGCGACATACTCACGTATATAGCCATCAAGTTGTTCATCTCTCCTTCTCTGAAGACTTTTATGGTCGTAAAAGTCACCACTTTCCTTTGAACCACCAAAATTTTCAAAATCAACATCGAAATCGGAAAATTCTGGGTTTGTTGCAAAATCATCATAAAATGTAGATTCGTCTTCTTCTCCATAATCCTTGTTCCCATTTTGTGATCCTACATCACCATAACCTTTCACCTTCCCATATGAAACCTCATCATGATAGTCTTTGCTATCAGGGTTTGTGCTTTCATTGTCATAATCTTTGTTCTTACTATCGGAGGATACATCATCATAGTCATTATATTCATCACTTCCTTCCCCACTTTTGTCTCCTTTTTTCTGCTCATTACTAGCTTCTTGACTTCCTAATTCTTCTTGTTCCTTTTTCGGCCAAAATGTAAGGCGTTTTTGTCGCATTTGTGAGCCTGGTAAACATTTATAATATAACTAAGTTTAACATATTTCATACATATAGCATTTATTTATTTAAGTTTTAGAACTTGTAATAAATAACTGATAATTTCCATTAAAAATAATTTATTGAGTTGTCACATTAAGTTTCAAACCCATTTGAACTGTGAAAAATTTAATACCATTTACTTTTATTTAGAATGTAGAACATTAAAATGTTAATAATCTATTTATATAATTTGTCTTCTATTTCTTTTTCTTTTTAATAATTCATTATGTGAATTAACTGCAATTTACTCACATAATATTGTTATCCAGGGTTTGAACTTAATGTGCTGAATTTTACAAAACATTTTAGTCATATTTTCTTGGTTATACATTTTTTTTTTAATAGATATATACATGTTATCTAAATATTTATTAATAATTTTCAAAAATCATAATTTTTACAATATTTTCCTTCTAATCAATTTCCAGCTAGCTTTACACACAACAATACATTACAAAATTTAATGTTTCCAATATGTACATAAATTGTTAGTAAAAGATACAATATTTACAAATTACATATTCATTTTTTATTTATTGTTACTATTGAAGGCCTACAATACACTTTATTTTCTTAATATCAATAGTACTATATCTATGTAAGCTTATTTACAACTGCATATCACTGATATAGTAACAATAGTATCTATTTTTCTGATCTACATATTACTATGTACACTTATTGCTAATTACCAGCCTAATTTTACTATTATGTTTCCTAAAATAATTTTCCTGGATATTTAAAATATACAGTGAAAATAGATGATTTAAAAATTGAATATACAGTGATTTTTTAAATTAAACATTCTATATTGAGTGAAAAACAATCAGCTTAAAAAAAAATTAAGAAAACATTTTTGTAGTTAAATGAAATTATAATTTTACTCCGCAGATTGCTTTGGGCAGATGTGGATTCTAATACTTCCTATGCCAGGTAACATTTAATTTGTAATGGTACCACAAAATAAGTTATGATTTGGTCACAAAACACTATGATTTTCAGAAATTTAATCATTAATACTCCCAAGAAAATACATACATACAGTGAAAATAATAATAAAAAAAGTTGGGTTATGTCATATATATATTTTTACTGCTTCTACAGGAATTGAAATAACTGTTTGTGAAACTGGAAGAGGATGATACCTGCTTGATGACAAGAAATCAAAATAAAAAATGTTCTTGCAGTAAAATATTGTCTAACTGAGTTTTAAAACATATAAGCACTTTTTTTTTTTTTTTAAATTACGTGCTTCAACCAATAGGGTCATTATTGGCTTATCTAAGCACTTTAAAAGTTATAATATTTAAATATAATATTATTATTATTATTATATATTTAAACGAACGAAGAATGAAAACAAGCAAATATTAAATATATAATAAAAACAGTTGATGCTAGTTCAAAAGATAAAAAAATTATTTTTGTTATTTTTTTCTATATTGTTTTAGAACAATCATACTACATTTGAAGAAAAATATTTTTCATTGTAGCAGGAAGTATTAAGTAATAATATCATGATAATTGTTTTTATATAAAATATTACCTTTTAGGATCAATATCCATAATTACAAAAATATTTTATATTTAGTAGGAATGATAGCTGATTAATAGAAAGAAATGTATGCTGAGTTTTATTTTAACAAACACTGATGTACCCAACAACTATAACAGATGTTTCAGACCCAAATGTTGGAAAGATTGAAATTAGAAAGGTATTCTTAAGCAATAGATGTTTAGTCTAAACTGCTGTGGAATCCTAATATTCAATAGTTTAGTTCTAAGTTTGTAAGAAATTACTTTTACATAATGGTAGTTTTAAAAAGTCACTTAAAGAAGTTGCTGTTGTTATGAAATATAAAGAAGAATACAAACCATCCTTTAATAACGACAAGAATGTCTAAAAACAATTTCAGTGCTGATAGTACAAAAAATATAGCCCTTGCTAATATTATTTTATATTAATTATATTAACTTATTGCCATTGATAAAAAAAAGAGGTTTACTCTAGTAAGCTAAATAAAATAGAAAAACAATGCATTAACAAAGCTTTTTGTACATGGCTAGTGAGATACTAATTATACATGTTATTAATTAAACTAATTGTAATTGAGGAATTAATTGGATGAAGGTGATGTGTAACACCTTTTACGTTCTGAGAAAACTTAATTGAAATCATCCGCTATTAATTCAGTGATAAATCAATTACTTAATATGTGTTAATAATATTGTACCATAATTTATAACTTAATATATAAATTTTATAAATAATGATACAATATTGCATCATGATTAATTAATTATAATAATTAATCATTCATTTTTAAATATGTTAATTGGAGAAATTTACATATATTACAAATACATGCTCCTAAAATTATTTATGTTCATGAATGCTAGATAAATAATTGATCAAAATAATCTTTATGAGCAAGAGAATTAGAAATACATCCATTTTCATATTTCTGTGCAACATATAAGCTAAAAGAAAGCAATCACACGGATGTGTTGAATGTTTCCAGGAAGTAATTTTGTCCTATTAGATAGTGCTTTTATTTTATCTACTATCAATAAATCTGCACATTTGTCTATCTTAATCACTAACTGTATTTTATGAACAAATATAATTGTCGAAGAGAAGTTCGTTGAGGTGTTCAAGCAAAATACCTGTATGTGTGTATGTATGCATGTATTTTGACTGAAAACCCCAACGAACTTCTCTTCAATTACTTACTATCAATCCATCATCATTAATATAATCATCTTTTTGTTGAGTCTTTCTCATTCTCTAGGAATTAGCTAAATTAATTCAATCCATTGTATGGATCTATAAGGTTAACAAAATTTAAGCAATTTTTGTATAGTTAACAAACTATATTTAGGAATTTAGCAATTCATGCAAGTTTCTGCCAATAATGTAAAACAATTATAAATGCAATTTAAAGAAATAAGTGGAAGGGTTCAAGATTTCACATAGACCAGATTAATATAGTTTTAAAGAGGATATTATGATTCACAAAAGTAAATCTCGTTCAGGTCACTCTTAATCATTAACATCTGGAGAAACATTGACTAAGATATTAAAACAAGCAGTAGAAAAGAAGTGATAGACAAACGCCACCAATGGGTAATTCACTGGAATCCTCCCAGGTTCAACTCAATGTCTGTACATATCCAGGCTATATTATATTAACTTAATTTTTTTTTTCCAAGATGTTTCGTGTGTCAGGTCTAATTACCTGTTGATTTAGTATAGTTAAGAAGAGCTGTCCCTAATGAGGTATGTTAATTAAAAAAGAACCATTTATGCTTATATTCACTAAACATTTTTCTCATCAGTTCTTGGTTAGCAGTGAAATGGTTAAAACCTGATTACTGGGCCTCCCATCTATTCAGTGGGCATGGAGGCTTCTGCGTAAAGCTCTTTCAACTTGGGAATAATATTGATATCCAATGCCTCAGTTACAGAGTATCAGAGACTACTGAAGAAAAGCGGTCTTTATATTATGACTGAGTGATTTACTTCTTATTTAGTGAGAAAAACTATTCATACTTTAAGGATTTCCTATGGAGATGAAAAACAACAATAAGACCAACCCACTTCTCCTTGGGAAGAAAAGAACCAGGAAGACCACTCGACATATGAGGGGCAGAAGAAGGTGGCAGTTAAACCTAATGAAAGGTGAGCAAACTATGTACACAGCTCAAGAAAAAGTATGATTCTTAATTGTTGTACTAGCAGCATTTTTTATGAGGGCATCTGTTAATGGCCAAGGTAAATGGCGCAAGAACCTACCTTCCTCTCTCCTTCCAATACATTTTATTATTCGTCTTTTCTTAAAAACAAATCAAACTAAGGTAGAATCAGAAAAATCATACATCATATACAATTAGACTTGCTGTGGTATGTTCCATGTTTTCTCTTGTCCAAAAAATTCATAACCCTGTCGAAATTTGCATTCCTCAAAAATTCAAAAACCCGTCAAAAGATGTCTCCCTCAAAAATTATTAAGGCGCCATGAAACCTCCTTCTGGGCACCCCTGGTTACATCCACCTTCTGCTGCTTCATACAACACATTGCCTATCAGCCATGGTAGAATTGGAAATAATTAAATATTCTCTTGTAATACTAATTATGATTTTGTTTTCTTACTTTTTAATTTTGATACCTATAAACTTTAAAATTTGCATGCTTTTAACTAAAGATATATAAAATAAAATAAAAACAATTTGTTTCATGCTAATGTTAAATTAAGAGTTTAATCCCACTCTCCTTGTTAATTGTATATATGAAGTAAGCTCACCAAAATCCATTAGATCCTAAGAAAGATCCATATGCTATCATACAGTTCATTATAGTTTATGGTAGTTCTTAATTTCTTTTAATTAGCTAATAAAGTAGAATTGTTTGTTTGAATAAATTCACATACCTTGACTGGAACAACCCTTCTTTTTTGCTTCATCGGGCCAAGTACAGATACCAGTTTTTTCATTATAAACTAGCCCGGATGGACATGTGATCATGTTGTATTTTCCATCAACACAAAAATAAAATTTATCGCACACTCCTGCTTCTTCATGAGCAAAATATCCGTTCAGGCGAGGGCAGTGAGGAGATGGCTTAGGTGTTTCTGGAAATTAGCAAAAGTTATCTTTGTTATACATTGTACTATTATAATGTTATTTAAGTTCTTTGAATAGTATTCACCCTATCCTCCTCTCCATGATTTCCTCTACATTTATTTTCTGGTCTAGACAATATTTTATCTAAGAATTTTGTTGTTGAATAATTAAGGTTTTATATATATACTTATTTAATCTGGGATGGAAGACACTCAGTTGTTAGATCTACAATCACATATGTGTCTACTTTCAATAATTTAGTTTTGGAAATCTTATTTCATCCATTTTTAAAATTAATGGCATATTTTTATAAATATTTTTTTCCAATTTTACAATATTTCGGAGTTTTCAAATTATTCCCTTCATCACTAGTTTTTGTAATTGGATAAAGATTTGTTGAATTATTTTTAATAAAACAGGGACATTGAAATAATCTAAATATTTCAGTCAAAATGGAAAGTAATTTAATAAAAAATAAAGAAAATCGTCAATAACGGACATCAGTTAGAGTCAGATAATTATGAATTCTTGTATAAACAATAAATAAATAAAAGTATATATAAATAAAACCTTGAAAATTGAATATGTTGTTTAAGACATTCTTTTAAATTATACATTCACTCAAAAGTAATAAACATTTTTGGAAAATGAATTTAATCTCCTTGTAGGACTATCTTTCTTATTTTAGGTCATTTTGAACATTATTACTGCCCATCATTGTGACCTCCTCTTCAACAAAGTTGATTGTGATGCTTTTCCAATTCAGCAGTTAACAGCTAATCAATGGCCACGCTTTCAACACGATTCTCTGAAAAGTAGAAAACTGTTTTCTTAGCCTCGTCATCATTAGAAATTTATTGACATGATACTCGAACATGAAAGCATGTGATGAGTTTCTTCTTCAATATTCCAGCGTACGGTTGAAAATTACTTCCGTTATACATCCTGAACCACGAGTAGTAATCGATAATTTATGTATTTTTTCGATACCTCATTTCATTTATACACTTAAGTTTCGAAAATGCCGTTCTGACGTTGTTTTTTATCCTTATTTATAAAGGCGAACCATTGAATATTTCTACTGAAACTTTGTTAGTTCAGAGTCGTAAATAATTTGATGAGATAATAAGTGTCTTAAGAATAACTCTTTCGTAACGGAGCTAATTGTGGCAATCAAAGTAAAATCTGTTGAATAACGATAACATTAGGAGATGCAGTTTTTAATAACATTTTATTTTTTTATTTTGGAAGAGCAGGCCACTTAAATAGTATTAAATATATGGCAAACTAGGTTACCATTTATTTCTTTATTATTCAACAACTGTTACGTTAATTTAGTATCATTGACGTTTTGATGCACCATTCCATGTCCCAAAAAATCTTTCTCCAGTTAGATATTAAATTATATTTAACCGAATATTATTCTATGAATTTTTTAAATATCTAAAATCATACCAATTTATCTTGAAATGTCCATTTTTACTCCTACAGTCAATTAAACCAATTATTAGTCATATAGTAATAAAATTCGTAGAGTATATATTTTATCTTATTTCGTCTCTACCCCTTTAAATACCCTGTTACAGTCACACTCCGAGCTCACATTATTTTTCAGATGCGAAATAGCTGTAATCTATTTAGCTGAGAAGACGTAGTCTTCTCGTCATTTTTAAATATATTTATTTAGGCTTCCTCCATTATTCATTCTTACCTGTTTTTTGAGGTTTGGGCCCTCAAATTCTGTCTTGAAATTTGCAGTAAACCATTCGTTACTTTCATTACTTAATCAACTATTCCATTTAAAGTAATCACCCATTTATTACCGCGTAGTGTTCCTTGTGTCATATAAAAACTATTAGTACTGACACATAATAAATTCTATTTTCTTTTTATACCTGACTGAAACGACAAGAAACCGCTTGACATTTCCGATTACTTCAGCACTTACTAGACAAACGCTCTAAATTTCCAATTAATTACAAAATATTCATATACATGACTATAATAAGGCCTATTTGGATGTAAAAGTCAAACGGAGTTGAACTATGGGGCTTCACTAAACCATCGAATCCTTCTCTTATCCAATCCTAACAATCTAAAATCCTTCGTAAAATCCTCAATGCTACTTTGTTACAAATAATATCATCCATAATGACATTAATGTTTCTTATGTTTCAGGTCTGGTCCAATCCAGATACCTATCATTCCATAATAAACTTTAGAATCATCCCAATCCTCTCGTTTCTAACCTTGCTTCCTCTTCAATTCCTGATAATCCTTCGGGGCGTCTGAAAAGAAGATGGCCCCGTGATCAACTAATGTAGACATATCATTAGAGTGCTACCATTGGGAAGTTACTCAACAAGTGTTTTCACGTCATTATATCCGTATGTTCAAATTTACTAAATGTATTTCTTTAATATAGTTGTAAATATCATTAAGAAATAATTTTTAAAAAAATTCTTTTTAACACAACCCTTTCGTACATCTTGTTTGAACTTCTTTGATTTAACCGTTTAACTTGTTCTATCAGGACACTTTTTCTAGCAAACATCGTCTGAATAAATCTATAAGTGTAGACAATGTAGACAGTTAAAAAGAGATATATTAGCTATATCTGCGCGTTCGGTGAGGTTCTAGGATCGTTCAGACTGATGCTTAGTTCAATAAATGAGATAAAATAACTTGTTTATATCAAGTTACAAAAAATATTGTTAAACAAATTTAAAAATAAAACTCACGACGTTCGGGTCTTTCTGAGCAGTCTATATTGAATGGCAAGTCACACTTTTCCACTTGAGGACTGTAGTCATTGAAGACCATCCCATCAGGACACAACTTCTCTTCGATGACTCCGTCTCGGCATTCATAGTATTTATCGCATTGGAAACCGTCAGCGAAGAAACCATTACTTTCAGGACACTCATCAGTTAGATCGCCACCAGATTTAGGTTTTGGTGGAGGCGTTGGTTTTCTCGCTCCTTCAGCCACACCTGAAACATTAAAAAAAATATATATATTTATTTACATTTGCTAAAATATGTTTTTATAAACTTGATGAATACTTTCTAGAATTATATAAATTGGAGGCATGTTTCCTAAGGAAACCATTATAGTTGGATTTTCATTCATAAAAAAGAATATAATACACTTTGTTCAATATGGTTCACAATACAATAAAGCAGCCCTGTCACGCCTTATACAATCAACATCTATTGTATCGGCTTGATGTCTAAATAATACAAAAAAATGACTGCAAAAACTGAACACATCTTTTCCAACAGGACAGTCATTCAAGTGTGGCCTGTTATCCAACCATGTAATGCTGTTAAGAGGCTTTTGGGAAAAACACGTTTTCTTTAAAGGTTCTTCTATTGTATTTTATTAATTAAATTTATTATCCTCAATTTGTTTTTTTACCTCCGAAGTTTCCGTTTGCTTAACGACTAAGTTTTTCTAGTAGTATTGGACATCAAACAAAGCACTTTTTCACACTAGAAATAAGTGTGGTCAACATTTTGGTTTCGAAGCTTCTCCAACTTGTTCAGAAGTATTCAACAGCAAAAAAGACTTAGCCGTTGGTGATTGACACAAGAACGACAATAGACACGTAACCTAGCGGTACGGACCACCAGCTTCCTTTCACTCACGAGTGTCTTCACTTCCTAGTGTATGTGTGCTTCGTCGACTTGGAAGGTCCGAATCCAATATGAAATAGTTTTTATAAATATATCAATCCAAACATACCTTCATCGTGTCATCATCGAACTCAAATGATTAGTTTATAAATTGATAGTCTGTCAAATAGCTTTCTTCCTAACCAGAAGAATGCACTTATGAGTGACCTAACGATCGAAGGCAATGGAATTCCTAGGTAGCCTTTGAGATGAAGCCTTAGGCCCATGATTACTTTCAATTTGAGGCTGTATGCTTTATCAGCAATGAAGCTGTTTAGATAAAACTCTTCCAGGACTCAAAATTGAACTAATGATTCTCTCAGTGTGTTAGTAGTGGACTCTGGTTCAGATGATTTAAATGGAAGTATTTTACGTGTATTTTTCTCACTATTCATTTCTGTTTTTAAATATCTGTCTATTTCATTAAACTTTGATTTCTTAATGATGAAAATATGTTCTTTTGAAACAGGCATGGGATAGAAAAACAACAAATATAATAATTATTTATGAAAATTAATTTTTAAAAATTTTAATTTGCTCTTATCCTTAGGTATATATTTGAATATATGAAAACGTATTTATTTATACTTTAAAGAGATATAAAATAAAACATACAAGTCACAACATAAGTTAATTGTGTAATTTTATGTTTTTTATTATTAATTACCAACGAAGTTTCTCCTGTTGGGTTGGCTGCGTTCTATAAAATTCTAATCTGTCATTTTAAAAGATAAAGGGGATAACATGTAATAGAGCGACAAAAATCTGCTTTTTAAACATATTCTTCAGGAAAATAACTTGTTAAATTGAAAATGATCCTTATGCGTTATGTGAATTATGAGTCTTCTGCATACTCTGAAGAAATTGATGACCCCACAGCTGTTATTTGGTCATCGAGAAGGTTTAGAGCTGTGAATTACCAACTTCTTCATAATGTGCAGAAAAAGCTCTCTGAATTAATCACATTGCGCGTAACTCATGAGGGTCAAGAAATTAATCTTTAGCCATGTTTGTCAAATATATTTTTATTTTAAACTTTTTTCTTTACTTACACCTCTTTAAAATGTGAATATGCGAGAAATCCAATGGTAAGACTTTGATAGGCTTGAGAGAGCTGAGTAATCAGCGATTCCTACATTGATTGGGAAGACTTTAACTTATATTTACGTAACTTGATTACATTTAGCAAACATTGGTAATCCATCATATTTTTAAATAGAATACCATTTTCAATTAATTAGATATTCCCGTTTTCCTAGAGGAACAAAAATACGATTCTTTATTCATTTGAAGATACTACGTCCTTCATTCATGTTTATATCATTGCCATATCAAATTTAAATCATCCAAATAAAACTCATATTTCATGGGTACATTTATACACTAATGTTAACTTCGAAAACAAGAGAACACTAAAAGGAAATAGAAAACGATGTGGATGATAGCTGTACATCTGTAATTTTTATTTATTCAGTTAAAAGTTTTCGCTTGATACTATTTTTCTTCAGACGTCATTGTAATTTCTATGCTGGCAATTACTACTGTCTGTTAGTTAATATTTAGACATGAGCAAATAAATATAATATATTTAAAAAAATAATAATAATGGTAGCAAATATTTTGCCAATAAATTCACCATGAAATACAATAAGTAGTTTTAATAACCTCGGTTTAAGGTGGCATGAGGTTATTCTACTATCGGCCCGGTAACCTTCAACAGTGAAAGTGTGGAGTGTATTCCCGCCTACAGAAGGATATTTTCTGTCATTTATAAAGGTCTCCTTTCTGTTTCTTTGCTTGGTAAATTTCCTTTTCGTTTATTGCGTCTTATGTATCTATTTAAGTTTCAATATAAAGGTCTTTGTATGCACCACATTAGAATTACTGTTTATTTATAAGATGAACTATAACTCTTAAAATCTTCACTTCACTCTGCTGGATTTTCTGCACCTTGCTGCATCTTCAAGATAATTTTTCATATTTATTTATTTTCAAGTTCCTTGGCATTTTATAAACTTTCAACATCGAAATTCAATTACCATTTCTATATCTGTAATTGCCAATATGTTCGTTTAATGAATGATTACAATTGGTTAACTAGGATGTCGGTTCTAGAATTTTGACTCGCCTAAAGTGTGAAAAACATACTCAGTATTTTTACATGAAGATTAGTTTGACTATTTTAATTTTTTTTTTTGGCTGACTATTAAAGTATTTTACAAAATATTTACGTGAATTAATTATGGTAAAATTTATCATATATTCGTAGTTTCTTTTGTTAATGCATGATTATAATCCATGATCAATTTGCTCACAATTCTTTTAGAGCCGCCTTTTCTTTTAGAATTGTGGTGCTAATCATCCGTAATTTATCTATAATTATTATTTACGATTAGAGTATTGTCCATAATTTGGATTAATTTAATGTATTTATTAATTAATAAACAGATGGATTAATTTAACAATGGTCGATAAATTTCCAAGTCTGGCTGGGTTGTTATCGGGGATGGAATCAGAAACTGTCTATATTGGGCATAACATAAAAAATTCATGACACTTTTTTACGTTATTAAATGATACAATAAACAATGTTATTGAACTGCTTTTCCGGATTCTTCCGTATTTTTATATAGGAGAAATGTTGATGTATGTTACGTAATACTTATTTATGTATGTTCTGAGTAAAATTAACTGTTTTAAAACCGAAACCTGTCCGTGAATACGTCTCCGAAATCTTCTTTATTTTATAGGTATTTCTTTTTTTTTTTATTTATTCAGTAATATTACAAGCTGTCACAATTAAGGACATCACGGGCGGATCTACGGGGGGGGGGGGCTTTCGGGCTGAAGCCCCCCCCCAAAATGGAAAAATACAACCATGTTTTATGGAAAAAAAAATTTAAAAAATACCTCTTAAAGTATTATTGTTCGTGTAATTACATTTAAAAGGACTTAACGAATCCCTTAAACACCATTTCATATAGGTAGTTAGTTTCTTTCTGTTTTTCCAAAGTAATTATCGTTATTTTTATGAAAAAAGAAGGTTTCGGGCTGAAGCCCCCCCAAAATTAAATCCTGGATCCGCTAGTGAAGGACATAATAGGTATATCTAAGTGATTAAGAATAAATAAGATTCAAAGATCTTTATCGATTCATATTAATTTGGGAAATAATTCAAATTTTGCAAAACTTCTAGCTTAGGATATCCTGAAGTCAGGAGACTCTTCTGGGGCACACTCAGCCTCAATACAGTAGGTATTTTTAATTAAAAATTAGTTAAGAGGAAAAACCTGGTAGTTAAGCGTGATCACGTTCAAATCATCCCTTACAAAGCCTTCTACGGGTGTAGTGGTACACTACATTTTTTCACTTCTCCGTTAAAGCTTTTTTTCCTTCTTTTTAATGCTGAAATAGTTGTTGAATAGAATTGTTGCCTCCAATAGTCGCATTGGAGTTCAAATATTTTTTATTCCAATTTTAAACGAAATTAGTTCTAGAAATTTCTAGAATACGCTAGAATTCTATTAGGACAAGACTGTTATATTCATTATATTTTATTTAATTGAAATAAAGGATGCTATAAAAAAGGAATCTTTTCATGTTTACATTCTCCTATGTAATCCAAATTTCTTAATCAAGTCAAAGCTATCAGTTGACCTGATCTTCAAGCGCATTTCTATCAGTATAATATTAGTTCGTGTACTATCCCCCTCACCTTCCATGCCCATTTCAATCCCTGCCAGTAATAATGTTTTAACGGTTCCATGTTTTCCGGATACAGTTAACCCGAATGCAGTTCCGCAGCGTACAGTGAACTAGAAGTGCAACTCATGGTTTCAATATCCTCTTGATGGCCGTTACCCTGGACTTGGCCGATCATAAAGGCTTTCCACGGAGGGGAAACACGGAGTTACATCAACCGGTGGTTTCAGTGCCATTTTCCCGAGGGTTGTTGGGTTACGGTCTCGATTCTGCTTTCTTGCTCGTTAGATCTGCCAACGTTTCAATAGCCTTTCACGGGACATCCATCGTAATCGGGGAAACTCCACTTGACCATTTCATCTCTTTCTGTGTTCTGTTGTTGTTTTTTTTTGGATTTATTGTTTGCCACAGATCCTTAAAATCACGTTCCGTTTTCTTCTGACGGGTTTTAACCTAGGTACGAAATTATTTTGCCTTCATTACACTTGTTTCGATCGAGGTTTTCTTCTTTATATAAAAAGTATCTGCAATTTGCTGCTTGATCTCGCTGTTAATAAGGGCGTAAAATAGCTACGTACACAATGCAACTCCCCAAATAAGGCTTTCAAAAAAGTATATTGGATTTTCCAATATCTTCTTATGCAAGCTGTGACAATTATATTAAGCTGCCTGATTTTTTTTAATGTGGTCTTCCTTTGAAAGCTATTATTTATTATCGTCATGCATGACACTGCTGTATTGCGGGTCAGTATTAGTAATTTTCATCGTAGATCCCCACCCCCTTTCCTTGGTCTTCAATTAGAAACTTGTACAAGTATTGCATAGGACACCTTTTGAACCACTTCTACGAAAAAAAGTGTTTTCAAAATGTATTATGGAAACGATTTATATTAATTACATTTTTCATGTTAATGTTTCATTTAATGTAATTATTGGGAATCCATTAAACGTTACTGTTACAATTGTAATGTAATTTATAAGGAACTCAGACGGTTTGTTGAAAGGTAGCATTAAAATTATCAGTATAGTAATGCACTAAACCTACACCATACTTAATCATTTTTCATTATTATCATTTTTACTCTACAATTTCAGTAGTTATCGTTATTATAATTTTTCATTTTGGTGGGTTTCGTTTTTTTGGCACTGCGTTTAATCTTAATGGACGTCTCGCATTTGATTGAAAATAGACGTCTTATTTTTTATCTTGTACCACGATACAGAATGTTACTTTTAATATAAAATTTAATTTAAAATACATATATAATTTCCTTATAAATGTAATTTGTATTAGTTGTTCATCCAGGATAGCTTTATTACTACCTATTGATTTTTTATTTGTAATATATATTTTATAGAAATAGCAAGGAGCTGTAAAATCTTTAGTGTTTGAATTACATGTTATGTAATTTAAACACTAAAGCTTTTACAGTTTCTAATTATTCCTATGAAATATCTATTACAAATAAAAATCAGTAAGTAGTAATGAAGCTATTCTGGCTGAAGAACGCATAATAGTTTAAAA